GGGGATTGGCCAACTTCACTTAGCATTATATTCTCCAACTCCACCCCTTTATTTACCTGCCATGATTTTATTCTCTTTAAATGCTGAATAGTATTCTAGGTATTAATTATAGATTAAAATTTATAAGGGAAATGACCATAATGAGAAACTAAGATGCTAGAAAAAAACCCAGTGGAATTTTAGAGAAGAATACATTGAATGGAACTTAAAGTAGACAAGACACTGCAGAAAAAAGGATTGGTGAATAGCAATAGAAACTTCCCAAAGTAATGTACCAAAATGACAGGCTCTAAGAAAGAAAAACAGTCTAGTTAACTGTGTTAAAGTATAAGCTCTGAAGTGGTTTGCAAAATGGAGTGTCAGAACAAAATTAGAGAAAAGGAAAGAAAATATCTTTTTTCTTTTTCTTTTTTTGGTGCCAGGGATTGAACCCAGGAGTGCTTAACCACTAAGCCACATTCCCAAACCTTTTTATTCTTTTTTTGAAACAGGGTCTTTCTAAGTTGCTTACGGATTTGCTAAACTGCTGATACTGGCTTTGAACTGTCAATCCTCCTCCCTCGGCCTCCCAAGTTGCTGGGATTACAAGTGTGTGCCACCACATCCGTTGAGAGAAAATATCTTAAGAATTGATGACTAAAATTTTTCTAAATTTTATTTAAACTATTCATGAATGGGCTGAGCTTGGTAGTGTGCTCCTGTAGTTCCAGCTACATGGGGAGTGAGGCAGGAAGATCACTTCAGGCCAGGAGTTCAAGACTAGTCTGGGCAAAATGGTGAGACCCTCTCTCTAGAACAATGTAAAAAACAAAAATGTTTTTTTTCCCCACACAGAATAAAGCAGAAAAAAAATCTTACGAAGATATATTGTATTAGTCCATTTGTGCTATCACAAAATACCTGAGACTTGGTAATTACAAGTAGAAATTTATTTCTCACAGTCCAAGATCAAGGAAGGAAGTCCAAGATCAAGGTGGACGCATACTCAATGTCTGGTGAGGGAGGGTCTGTTTACTTCTTCCAAAATGGAGCTGGGTATGGTGGCTTACACCTGTAATCTCAGTGGCTTGTGAGGCTGAGGCAGGAGGATCGCAAGTTCAAAGCTAGCCTCAGCAACTTAGCAAGACCCTGTCTCAAAATAAAATATAAAAAGGGCTAGGGATGTGGCTCAATGGTTAAGCGCCCCTGCATTCAATCTCTGGTTCACCCCCCCCCCAAAAAAAAGAACCAAAATGGGACCTTGTAACATTGACGTAATGCAGGGCAGAAGGGCAAGAGACAAACTCTGTGTCTTTACATTGTAGAAGATATAGAAGCCACAAAACCACTACCTCAGGCTTTACCTCATGATTTAATCTTCATATAGGTCCCACTATTAATATTATCACACTGGCAATTAAGTGTTCACATAAGGGGGGCTGGGGATATAGCTCAGTTGGTAGACTGCTTGCCATGCATGCACAAGGCCCTGGGTTCAATCCCCAGGAACACACACACACACACACACACACACACACAGTTTTGGAAGACACACTCAAATCATGGCATACATCATGATCATATTGTTGAATACCAGTTGAAAGGAAAAATATTTAAATTTTAAATTAAAACTTTTGTTTTCACTGTACTGGGGATTGAACCCAGGGCACTGTAGCACAGAGTTACATGCCCAGCCATTCTTATTTTTTACTTTGAGATATCATCTCCCTAAGTTGCTGAAGCTGGCCTTGAAGGTGCAGTCCTTCAAGTAGCTGAAACTAGGCATGTGTCACCATGACCTGCAAGACAAAACATTTTAAAAGCAGTTTGAGAAAATAGATACATCATAGAACAACAGAGTACCACCCCAGCAATTAGATTATGATAGAAAATCATATTTAAAATGCTGAAAGAAAAAATAGTCAATCTAGAATTCTCTATGCAGCAAAAATATCTTCCAAAAATGAAAGCAAAATACTTAATCAGATGAGCAACTTTGGGAGACTTAATTGACAACAGACATGCACTGTATGATATGTGAAAGGAAGTTTTTAGAAATGAAAAATTATATGAGATGGAAACTTGGATCTTCACAAATAGTTGTTCTATACTGGAAATGTAAATATATAGGTAATCACATTTTTTTTTTTTTTTTTGTTACTAGGGAGTGAATCCAGGGCCTTACTCATGCTAGACAATACTCTACTACTGAACTACATCCCCAGCCTGGTTAAAAATATGAACAACAACAAAGACTTTTTTTCTTTAAAAGGTAATTGACTAAAGTTGAGAATGTTTCAGTGGTAAAGTGCTTGTCTCACATGTACGAAGCCCTGGGTTCAATCATCCAGTACTGTAAAGAAAGGGAAAAAAAGTTGACTAAAGCAAATCTGGCCTGTGACTTACTTTGACTCATGAGCTAAGAATACTTTTAAGTTTTAAAAGTTTGGTTTGTTTTTAAAAAATGTAATAGAAACCACCAAATGGTGCACCAATTATGTAATGAATTCTGTACTGAATGTATTTTCTAGTTTACTATTAAACATTTTTTACTTGAAAGTGTTTTATTTTTTTTGTACTAAAATTTATCAGTCTATAACTTTAGGATTCCTGATTTTAGTGTTATTCACCCAAAGTACTTGGTTTGATTTTAAATATTTATTTTTTAGTTGTAGTTTGACAAAATACCTTTATTTTATTTATTTATTTATTTTTATGTGGTGTTAAGGATCAAACCCAGGTCCTTGCACATGCTAGATGAATGCTCTACTGCTGAGCCACAACCCCAGCCCAGTACTCAGTTTTATTTATTTATTTATAAATAAATAAATAAAAGTACTTGGTTTTATTTAAATAAATAAATAATAAATAAAATATTACTTATTTATAAGTAAATAAATAAAAGTGCTTGGTTTTAATTATTTATTTATTTGGTTCTGAGATTGAACTCAGGGGCACTCAACCACTGAGCCAAATCCCCAGCCTTATTTTTGTGTTTTATTTAGAGACAAGGTCTCACTGAGCTGCTTAGTGCCTTGCTTTTGCTGAGGCTGGCTTTGAGCTAGTGATCCTCCTGCCTCAGCCTGCTGAGTTGCTACGCCCAGCACTTAGTTTATTTTTAATTTTAATTTTTTATTGCTGGGGATGAACCCGGGCCTTCATATGTGTTCTGTCACTGAGTTGCAACCCCAGCCCAAAGTACTTGTTTTTTTTTCCTTCAGTACCAAGGACTGAACCCAGTGGTACTTAACCACTGAGCCACATTCCCAGTCTCTTTTATTTTTTATTTTGAGACAGGGTCTTGCTAAATTGCTTAGGCCCTCACTAAGTTTCTGAGACTGGCCTTGACCTTGTGATCCTCCTACCTCAGTCTCCAGGGATTCTGGGATTACAGGTGTGCATACCAACTTGCTTTAAGAATATTATTTAGGGCTGGGGATGTGGCTCAAGTGGTGGCGCGATTGCCTGGCATGCGTGCGGCCCGGGTTCGATCCTCAGTACCACATACCAACAATCAAAGATGTTGTGTCCGCCGAGAACTAAAAAATAAATATTAAAAAAAAAAGAATATTATTTAATTTATAGTTTGTTTTTTCTCAACTTTTCTTTAGATGAGCATTTCAAACATAGGAGAAAATAGAATAACCCAATGAACACCCAGATATTCTCTACTTAGATCCAGCAACTATTAAAATTTTGCTGTATTTGATTTATTGATTTTTCCATGTGCAGTTTATTATTATATTTGCTAAAACATTTCAGAATAACATGATGTCTGACATTTCATGCGTAAAAATTTCAGTCTTCCTCTGCTAAGAATAAGAACATTTCTTGTACTGGGGTTGTGGCTTAGCAGTAGAGCACTCTCCTAGCATGTGCAAGACCCTGGGTTCAATCCTCAGCACCACATAAAAGTGCATAAAATAAATATATTGTGTCCAAATACAACTAAATAAATATTAAAAAAAGAATAAGAAAATTTCTTGATATAACCAGAATTTAATTTTCATATGTAAAAAAATAAATAATTCCATGTTACATTATAATATCCAGTTCAAATTCTAATTTTCCCAATTGTCCAATGAATATCTAGTACCCAATATTTCATAAAACAGTGTTCTATCAAGCTTAGGTCATTGCTTTTGATTTTTATGTCTATTTTAGTTTGGTTGAGTACTCTTCCATTCACCATTTTCCCCCTTCACATTGACTTTTTAAGGAGTCCAAGCTACTTGATTATCCCATAGTATAGAATAGATTGATTGATTCCTCATTGAATCATTTAACTTAATATTGTTCAGATATTTCCTGCATTGTGTATAAATGGTTACATTATGTGTAAAATGAAGTTACAAGAAGAGTTGATTAAGTTCAGGTTGAAAAGATTGGCATCATGTTCTTGATGTTGCATCGTATTAGGGGTTCATCACGCCTGGTTGTCTCCCTCTTTGTGATGATGAGTTTACCACACCCACCTGTGGTAAAATAGTTAATGACTGAAAATTTTTCTGTCTTCCTAGTCTAAACCTTTTCTAGTTCTTGGGTTGAAAGAGAACGCTTGTGTTGGGACATTTGTCTTCTGTTCCTGTTGATATTTCCAGGTTGTCACTTCCTTTTGTTCCAAAAATGGAATATTTGAGGCAAAAGCAGGGGCCATGGTGGCTCATGCTTGTGATCCCAGCAACTCAGGAGGCTGAGGCAGGAGGATTGCAAGTTCAAAGCCTTTTCAGCAATATAGTGAGGGCTTAAGAAACTTAGTGAGACCCTGTCTCAAAACAAAACAAAATAAAATTAATTAATTAAAAGGTCTGGGTTTGTAGATCAGTGGGAAAGCACCCCTAGGTTCAATCTTTAGTACAAAAAGAAAGAAAGAGAAAAAGGGGAACCCAACCAACTGGTACTGTTTTATTCCTTGGATCCTGAGGTCTGTTGCTGTTTTCTATTTCTTTTCTCAGTCTTCATATGTTTATTTTATATATCGTTTTCAGGGGTTTTAGCTGTATTTAGCAGTTGAAATAGGGAAAGTACATCTATTTTATCTTCCTGGAAATGGAAGTGTTCCCTCTGTTTTAAATATTATTCTTTATGGCTGGGGAGGGAGCTCAGTAGAACAGTACTTGCCTAACATGCATGAAGACCTGGGATCAATTCCCAGCAATGAAAAGAAAAAAAAAAAAGAAAAAGAAAAAAACAAAAATAAAAATTATAATAATAACCAAAAACCTTTTAGATGCTTTAATTGACTCCAAAATTTTGCTAACAGTAACATCCTCGATCTGGCTCGTATA